AAAAAAAAAAAAAAAAAGAAGAAGAGGAAAATTGGACACTATGCATAGAAGAAGACTGCCATCTCTATAAGCCAAGGAATGAGACCTCAGGAGACACCAACCCTGCTGACACCTTGATCTTGGACTTCAATCCTCCGGAATGGTGAGGGAATTAGTTTCTGTTGTTGAAAGCCACCCAGTCTGGGGCACTTTGTTATGACAGCCCTAGCAAATGAATACACTCACTAGTGGCTCCCAATTTCACCCAGATAAAAAGCCAAAGTTCTTACTCAAACCTACCAAACCCTAAACTTAGCAAACTGGGTGGCCACTGCTTGGAAACTTGTTGCTCAGCCAACTGGAAGGTTGCAGAATTGCCACTGTTATGTGGAAACTGGATCAACAGAGTTAGCGTTGCAACAAGAAAAATCCAACACTGGAAAGAAAACCTTAAAGGGCCGGGTGAAGAGGCTCACACCTGTAATCCCAGCACTTTGGGAGGCTGAAGCGGGCGGATCACCTGAAGTCAGGAGTTCGAGACCCGCCTGACCAACATGGTGAAACCCATTTCTACTAAAAATACAAAAAATTAGCCGAGCGTGGTGGCACTTGCCTGTAGTCTCAACTACTCAGGAGGCTGAGGCAGAAGAATCGCTTGAACCCGGGAAGCAGAGGCTGTGGTGAGCTAAGATCATGCCATTGACTCCAGCCTGGGCAACAAGAGTGAAACTCCAACTAAAAAAAAAATAATAATAACCTTAATAATTAAAAAAATTAAAGATCTCACCTCAAAAAGTTTAGCCAACTCTGCCTCCTTCCCTTTATGATGCTCTGCCCCTCCAGGGAGATCATGGGAACAATTTTTTTTTTTTTTGAGACAGAGTCTTGCCTTGTCACGCAGGCTGGAGGGCAGTGGCGAAATCTTGGCTTACTGCAACCTCCTCGTCCCAGGTTCAAGTGATTCTCCTGCCTCAGCTTCCTGAGTAGCTGGGATTACAGGCATCTGCCACCACACCCAGCTAATTGCCACCACACCCGGCTAATGGGAACAATTCTTAAGCTCTTTGTAGACTGGGCAAGGCCACATCAATCCCCTAAGTCAGAACTGGGTATCTATGGTGGGTTAAGGGCTGAAATATAGAAACATATGCAATTATCTGATGGTTTATGGCTCATTTCAACCAAAAGACCATTCCTAGCTCATTTGCACTGTTTTCACTGAGATGTCAAAAGTGCTGAAAGGAGTCTGGGAAAGCTGGTTGGCTCCTGTCTGGGGCAGGCAGCTGATGCAGGAAATTGGCTGGTTCCTATAATTGGCACTGTAGCTCCCAGTGAAGACAGGGCAGACAGATTTAAATGAACTGTGTTTGGGAGGAGGTGGGAAAGGAAAGGAGAGATGATTTGGGTAGAGAGAATGCATGAAGATGTAGTGGAGGCCCGGCACGGTAGCTCACACCTGTAATGCCAGCATTTTGGGAGGCCAAGGCAGGCAGATCATCTGAGGTCAGAAGTTTGAGACCAGCCTGGCCAACATGGTAAAACACTGTGTCTACTAAAAATACAAAAAAATTGGACCAGCCTGGCCAACATGGTGAAACCCTGTCTCTACTAAAAAATACAAAAATTGGCTGGGCGTGGTGGCTCACGCCTGTAATCCAAGCACTTTGGAGGCCAAGGCAGGTGGATCACCTGAGGTTGGGAGTTCAAGACCAGCCTGACCAACATGGTGAAACCCCGTCTTGAAAAACAAAAACAAAAATTACCTGGGCCTGGTGGTTCATGCCCGTAATTTCAGCTACTCAGGAAGCTGCGACAGCAAAATCGCTTGAACCTGGGAGGTAGAGGTTGCAGTGAGCTGATATTGTACCACTGTACTCCAGCCTGGGTGACAGAGTGAGACTCTGTCTTGAAAAAAAAAAAAAATGTAGTGAATGTTGTTGGTGCCACCCAGGTCCTGTTTATCTACTGTCTCAGTCAGCTCAAGCTACCATAAAGTACCACAAGCTGTGGTGGTTTGAACAACAGAAATGTGTTTTCCTTTTTTTTTTTGAGATGGAGTCTCACTCAGTTACCTAGGCTGGAGTGCAGTGGTGTGATCTTGGCTCACTGCAACCTCCACCTCCCGGGTTCAAGTGATTCTCCTGCCTCAGCCTCTTGAGCAGCCGGGATTACAGGCATGTGCCACCACACCCAGCTAAATTTTGTATTTTTAGTAGAGGTAGTGTTTCACCATTTTGGTCAGGCTGGTCTCGAACTTCTGACCTATGATCCACCCACCTCAGCCTCCCAAAGTGCTGGGATTACAGGTGTGAGCCACCGTGCCCGGCCTAGAAATGTGTTTTCTCTGTTTAGCTTCTAACCTGGGGCTCCATCAGTCTGCTATGGCAATTGGGGGCTGCCGAAATGTGTTTTCTCATAGCTCTAGGGGCTAGAAGTCCAAGATCAAGGCACATGCAGGATTGGTTTCTTCTGAGTCTCTCTCCTGGGCTTGCGGATGACCACAGTGTCTCTGTGTCCTCGAACGGTCTTTCTTCTGTGCATATGTACCCCTGGTGTCACTCTGTGTGTCCTAATTCCTCTTCTTATAAGGATATCAGTCAGATTGGATTAGGGGCCAACCTAATAACCTCATTTTTAAGTTAATTATCTCTTTAAAGGCCCTGTCTCCAAATAGAGTCACATTCTGAGGTACTGGAGGTTAGGGTTTCCACATATGAAATTTTGGAGAACACGATTAAGCTCATACAGCTGCCTGGTGCATCTCTCCCCAAGCTGCAGGGGGTGATGGTTGATAATGACTCACAACTGCCCCATTCTCTAGAGAGTTATTTTTGGCCAACTGAGATTGCCTTGCCTGGGAGGTTGCTCACCCCCAGTAGCTTGCAACCAGTTCTGTGTGACTCCGTTGTATAAAGGCTGTTCCTCTTGCCCCAGGGAGGGACCAACACTGTGGTACTATTCATAGTGCGGAACTCTGGGTGGGATCATGCTAAGGCTAGATTCTAGATGAAAATCACGTCTTTGCTCAGCTTCTTCCTCTGCTGCATGTGGCTTCCCTCACTTCCCTTTTCTCGGGAGCACCCCCTGAAGACATCATGTGCAGCTGAATCCCCTCCCTCAGACTCTGCTTCTAGGGAGCCTGACTTATGACAGTTTTTTTTGTTTTTTGGTTTTGAGACAAAGTCTTTGTCTGTTGCCCAGGCTAGAGCACAATGGCACAGGTTCCACTCACTGCAAACTCCGCCTCCTGGGTTCAAGTGATTCTCCTGCCTCAGCCTCCCGAGTAGCTGGGATT